CAAAGCTACACAGAGAAACCCTGTCTTGAAAAACCTAAAAATAAATAAATAAATAAATAAATAAATAAATAAATAAATAAATAAATAAATTGCTAGAGAAAGGTCACCATGCAGATGGCAACAAACCTGGACTTGCGCCCCATGTCTCAGGCCTGCGTGGTCAGCATACTCTGGCTCTTTGAGGTCTCCTGGAAGGTTGGGACACAATTCTACCTGCTCTGTTTAAGAACCCGTGATCGATATTTGTTGTTGAAGGGACAAACACACTGCAGAGCTCTTCATGTTGTTCCTGTGACCGCTAGAAAACAGGAGAATCTTACACTTGGTATATGGGGAAAAGACAGACTCAGGGAAGTTAAAGATCTCGTCTCAAATCACACAGCCTCCAAATGTCAAAAGCCAGCAAGTACAGGCAGACCATCCAGCTCTGTGCCAGCAATCAGACACCAGCAGACTGCGGCACCTAGTGGTACTCTGGCCATTCCTAGCAGCACCCATGTCTTTGTGCCTGCCTGACAGGGCCTGGATGCTGGACAGACATTCCAGACCTTGGGCCTGGGTTCTGTCTAAGTCTGAGCAGAGTCAGGTCCCTTGGGAGCCCCTCTTGGGAAGACATGAGAGGCTTTGCCAAATTCAGAGCAGCTGTTCTGCTCTGGGGAAGAAGAGGGCTCCTGGTGGTCAGTAGCCCCCAGCACTCCCCACCCTCAGCCCCATGAAAGCTCTGCATCCTAGAACTGACTATGTACACATATGTACATGAGGACCCAAACCCCAGTGCATAAATAGTCACATACGTGCTCCTGCATAGCATTCCTCTGGTGCTCACACTTGTGCCTGCACCCAGGACCTAGGATGCTGTGATCTGTGCATCTCCAACAGAGACCCACTCTTCCAGGCTTTGCTGTGCCTCTCCCTGGGTCTCTCCAGACACCATTCCGCAGGAATTCTTCCCCTCCATCTAGATCTGCCTCTCTCCTATCTCTCTTTTCTGCAAGATAGCGTGTTTCTGTCAGCAGATCTTAAGCCTCTGGCTCTCTATAGACCTTAGAGGGTGGCCTTGACAGTGTGAGGTTGCCTCTATGAACTAGGGCCTTGTGTGTATAACGTGTAGATATATCGTCTGTGTGTGGTTGCCTGTCTGTGTCAGTGGGCTGTGTGTTGGGTTTGTGCACAAGGTTGTGTGTTTGTTGGAGTGTATGTGCCATCTCCTGATTTTGTGAATGTGGTTTGTGATGGCTGGTCATGTGTTGGGCGTGTGTGTAGGTCTGAGTTGTGCGTCTGCGATGCACGTGTTGGCTTTGTGTGTTTGCTGAGGCGTGTGCTGGTGTGTTGTGTAGATGTGTGTGGGTCGTGTGTGCACAAGCACTTTGTAGGCCCTTGCTGTGGTGTGGAGAGCCTGCATGCATCTGGCAAGGGGACTGTAAGCAGTTGGCATTACGAAGAGGCGGCTGTCGCCGCGGGGTGGCGCTGTGGCAGAGGCAGGCGGGCTTGCGGCCAGGGCCCTGCAGGGCCGAAGTGTGCCACAGAACCGGAGCTGTCGAGCGGAGCTGAAGGGATCTCCTGAGTCTGGGGTGCAAGCTTGGGGTGGAATGGGGGAGAGTGGGCACTTGGCTGTGGTAGTTGAGGATCAGGTGCTCCGGGTGGCTCCCGGCTGAGGGACCGGGGTCTGTTGCGGAGGAGCTAGCAGCTGGAAGGACAGGACGGAGCCGGGGAGGACGTGCGGCCCCGGGGGCCCGGCCAGGCCGGCGCCAGCCGAAGAGTTGAAAGGCGGCCGCTGCCTCTCCTCCCCGCTCCCCTTTGAGCCCCCGATGGCTCTGGCGGAGGCGCAGGCCTGGACCGACCGGGCTCACCTAGGGACCTCAGGTCACTAAGGGGCCCCACGATGGGACGCTGGATCTGTAGGCCTCCTGCGCGGCCTGGACAGTCCGCCCAGGATCAGCTATCCGAGCCACGTACCCTGAAACTAGGCGCTCTGAACGCGAGCTCCACCCAGTCTCCCGGGTCGCGACCGCCTCAGCCTGGCTACCCACGCCCAGAGCTCTGGTGCCCCAAGGCCCCTGCCCTGGCCAGCGTCATCTCCGCCTCAGCTACCACGCTGGGCCGGCCGCTCTAGTCCTGTGGCATCGTCAGAAACGGAATTTGCAGGCTGGGTTTCCGTGATCTCTCCAACAAAATGAAAACGCCGGTGCGGACGGCCTGCAGGGCAGGGAAGACGTCCCTCTCACGACCTTAGGAACAGTGCTTGCTTTTGGTCATGGGAAAGGGGTTAAAGTCACAACTGGGACCCAGATCACCCGTGGCCAGTTGCCCCGGACATTCGCATTTCGTGCGAGAACTGTCATGGCATTCAGTGCCCCTCAGCTATAGAGACTCAGGCTGGTGCTCAGGAATGCGTAGGTACCTAATGAAATGAGATCGAATCCCTGTTCTGTTTCTTCATTAACTGTGTGTCCTGTCACCTCTCTGGGCCGCAGTAGCCCTCCAAGGCTATAGAAATCTAGGTTTGAGCGGAGAAGTGAAGCCGCCGGCACACTCGGTAACATGCCCAACGAGTAGGTTCCAAGAACTGACTCTTCTACCACAGGGCCCTAGGTGGTGACCCTCATTTCCCGCGATCGAGAGCACTCGTTAGACCACTAGATCAGTAAATTGATCCGTAAAGAACCGGGCCAAGGACCAGCTACAGACATCACTCTCTCTTGAATAGACAAGGAACTCAGCCCCAGAACCGACAGTGAGAAGCAGTATCCATCTCCCGGCCGCAAATTTCTGCTGCGCTGAATTTAAAGGGGCCTCGAAAACTGGACGTCAATCCAGTGAGCTGCTCAGAGACGGCAAACATCTATTGGGCACTTTCTGTGTACCCAGCCGTCTAGAAAGAGAATTAGAAAACGAGGTGTGCAAAGAAAGGGCTAACTACAAAGAAATAAAAATAGAAAAAAAAAAGAAATGAACGGACCCAGTAGTGGAAGGAAACCCCGGCCCAAGACTGCTTCCTAAGGCCACGGTGCTTGCGGGCGGGGGTCCGAGGGAGGCTCGGGAGGGGGAAGAGGAGGCGCGCCCGCCTCGCCTCGCCTGCAGCTACCGCCTCGCTGGAGCCATGGCGCGTCTGCAGAACGCAAACCGTTGCTCATTACGGCAATTATGTTGCTCTAAATTTGCCTCGACCCTAAATTGCTAAACTCAGAGGAGCCAGGAGGCCCAGGAGCTTGGGCCGGAGGAGACACGGGATCTTGCCCCGCCACTCCTCTATTCTGAGTGAGGGGAAAGGACTTTCTGCGCCAAGAACGAGCTGGAAACGCAGGCTCCAGGGGAATCTTCTGCGCCCCCGAGTGCCGGGCAGGTTAACACTTCCCCAAATTCTAGGAGCCAGGATGATGAGGATGCCAGGACCCCTTCCCCGGGTGAGAAAGCCGAGGTAGAGCAAGATGGCATGACCTTGCCTATGAAAAGGGCACACAGGCACCGAGGCAGGATCCAACACGCAGCCACCTCGACCCACCGGGGACAGACACAGTACCACTGTCTACCTAACCATCTCCACTGGCTTTCTAGGAAGGAACCCAGGAGATTCAACATGGGAGTCAGGACGTTTCGGGTTCAGGGGGTATACTGAACTGTCCTAAACTGCCCCCAAACGGCTTAACCTAAGTGACTGACAGCCAGAAGCAGAGGGACACCTTATCTTCCAAGTGCCTCTAAAGGGCATGTGGTGTGAGAACCCAACCTCCATCATGACCCAGGTCCTGGATTTGGCTTCCAGAGGCCCAGAGGCTCAAAGTCACTCCCCAGAGTCCTTCCAGACTGTCCCAGTAGTAGAACCAAGATCCATGACAAAGCTCCTTAAACTTGTCCTTTTAGGGAGGAGGGTGTGACAAACAGCCAGAAACATAGAATCTTAAGTCCAGCAACAGCAGGCTGGAGGACCCGAGGCCAAGGTCCCTCTGGAGTATCTTGGGGCCAGTGCAGAACCCTTCCAACCCCCCCCCCCAATCTTAGTCTCATGGAATTCTCCGGCCACCCTGAGCCAGAAGCAGTTTCTACGTTTCAATCGTGGAGATGTCCACATCTCCCTCAAGCCCAACCCCAGGTACTAGGGTTCTGGGTTCCCCCTCCTGACATCCCTGGACTCCAGTTGCCCAGAACTTCCCCTGCATGGAGTTTGGATACTCAAGCTCCCACCAGAGGGAGGCTGGTGGCTGGGACCACATAGATTTGGTGAGACTTAAGGGGTGGTCACTACACCAGAGAAAGAGGTGGGGGGTAATAATAGGCTCCATTTACCAAGGGGTCATTATTCTGTCTTTCACACCCTTGCAGAATTTTCCTCAGAAAATTAAACTTGCACTTATATATTTCAAATATACTTTTCTTGGAAGCCAGAACTTGACCACATAAAGGAAAAACCCCGTTTAAGAGGGCAGGAGAGCAGGGCCCAGGTACTGGTAGGCTTGGGTTTTCTGTACTCTTCAGTATCGCTGGATATTTGTGTGTTGTAAGAGAGGCTGGGCTAGCTGTGCAAAGCTCTTTAGGCAGCTCGAAATGAAACTCCAGAGTGTGTCTGCACTGGTGGCTGTTTAGAGACCCCCACCCCCACCCCCTTCAGTAGGAAAAACAGGTTTGAAGGGGCAGGAATTGTCTGGATTAGCTGTTGACAGTCATCAAACCGTTTGGGCCAAGTCACTTTGTTCTCATAGACAGTTTAAAAGGGGAGGAGGGAAAAAAAGAGTCGTTATAGGTGGAAAAGAGCAAGTGTCGATTTCAGCTTAAAGTGAATTGGAAAATTGAGCCTAATTATCCTAGGTAATTGCTCCAATTCTCCATTTGACTGTGTTAATGCAAATCTGTCCTGTGTGCCCCCCCCAATGATTCCTGAACATCTTCCTGTCGCCTTTGAAAGTTGCTCATTGTAAAACCGCCACCAAACTGAAAAGCAATCGCATACGTGAAGAGAAAGAAGGACCAGTAAAACACACAACTAAATCCACAGACATCATATCTTGTAGCTTAAAATTAATTTATTTAACAAATATAGCTATAATATAAATGATAATAAAATTTCAAATATACAATATATTACATAGTACACACGATCCCTTCAAAAGGGATGTTCGAGAGCCGCGACAATGTACTGTTAAATAGAAACAGATTTTGTTTTTCTTTCTTACTTTTTTTTATCCTGGTCCTGGGAAATTCTCTTCAACCTACCTTTATAAAGCACCAGCACGCGCCCTGCCCCCTCAGAGCAATGCTTTGCTGCTAAAGCTCTTGGGAGTTTGAGAGTGGAAGGAGCTGGGCTCCTTGCTTTCTACAGGACCGTGTTCGTTTCCCGAAGCACCAAACAGCAATTTCTCTGCGCAAGTCCAGCCTGGCTCCAGGACCGGAAGCAGCTGATGGAGTCATGGCCTCTAGTCCCTTTGGCCTCTAGTCTCCTTCAACCCGGCTCTAATTCTGCCGGGGACCACGGATAAATCTCTTGGCCTCTGTGCCCTTAATTTCCACATCTATAACTCGCGGGTGTAAATCTAGATTCTCTCGAAGAATCCAAACCCTTCCGAAAGCCACTTTCTCCCCCTTAGATGGGATCAGAGTCGGAGAACAGTAGGAAGGAACTGGAGGAACTGTAGCAGGGGGTTTTAAGAGAAGGGGCAGGTGGTGGTGGGCAGCGGAGCTTCCTAGGAAGGACTCCAGCTACTAGAAGAGGTGGCTGGGGGCGGGGGTAGTGGCACCACAGGGAGGCGATTCTGGACCCACCTATGTCAGGTGGTACATGCTGTAACCTACATGGGCCGTGTAGAGTCCCACGGGCGCCACGGGCAGCGCAGCGCGCTGGAAGGGACCAGAGGCACTGTAGAGCGAGGCGCCGGCCGCCGCGGCTACCGCAGCAGGGCCGCCGAGAGGGAAGGAGAGGCCGAAGGCGGCGGGCGGCAGCATGGGCTTCGCGGCCATCTTCAGCTTCTCCAGCTCGGCCTCCTGCAGTCTCTTGGCCTTGGCGCGGCGGTTCTGGAACCAGATCTTCACCTGCGTTTCGGTGAGGCTGAGCGAGCTGGAGAACTCGGCGCGCTCAGCGATGGACAGATACTGCTTCTGGCGGAACTTGCGCTCCAGAGCCAGCAGCTGCGCGGTGGTGAAGGGCGTCCTGGGCTTGCGGTTGGTCTTGTGCTTGCGTAGGGTGCAGGCCGGGGGACTCAGTCTTCCTAGGGGGCCGGGAGAGGAAAGAGGCAAGGAGTGAAGAGTGTACTACTAAGGGACAGAAACCGTTCTAGGTACTGATTTCTCCCAAGCACCTCTATGTTCGACACTATGGAGCATTTGAAAAATATTTTCTCCATCTGTATGTAACCCAACCCGTAGGGCAGAAGTTCTTGCCTTACTAAGATTCCAGGTGAAATCTAACCATGTTCAATGCTGAACTACAGTGGGACAGAGACAGTGCCAACCTATCTTAAAGTCAGGCCTTCCCCACCCGGGGCCTCTTCTGGGCTACTGCACAGAGAGAAGATGATTGCTAAGGGGGCCATAAAACATTCAGGGGCCCTAAGCCCAGCCCAGGGTCATACTGGGTTTTATACTTTAGGCACACATTTGTATTTGTGTCCACCAAAGGTACTGCATTGGTGCTAGCCATAGGCATAGAATGGATCTTGAAATTCCACGCTTTCTATCAAACAGCAAGCTTCTACTGGGCTCTAGAGCCAATCAAAAGAAGAGAGCCATCCAAGAGGTCACACTGTGACAATTCTAGAATATATACGAGGCTGTTTATCTAGACGTGCTGCCGGTTCAGATCCTCTCGGTTTTCCCTACAGTCTCTCCTATCGAGGTGCCTGGGTTCTAGGACCACACCAAGCATAGTGTGTGTGTGTGGGGGGGGGGGGAGTATGATAGCTTTTCCAACATAGTTCAGTTTCAAGAGACGGGTGATGCCCACTTGTCTTTTCTTTTAGTTTTCCCAGCAAAGGTTAAATCTCAGCAGAGTGCTGCCACTGTGTGGAGGGCAGGCCCAGTTAGGGGACTGAGTTTCAATCCTCCATCACCCCTGCTATGCGGGACAACACTGTTGCAGGATAAAACAAGCCTCAACAAATCCCCTCCCCCAACACCACACACACACACACACACACACACACACACACACACACACACACACCACTTAGTGAGTGCCTTGACTTGGGGTCCTAGAGGCTGAAGTTCTAAACCAAATTCCTAAGTCTCCAGGAGGATGCTTTGCCTCTGCAGCAGCTTTTCCTTTAAGAAAGCGAATTGAAATTGAGGACATCTCACCATGCGGGTTTTGCCTAACTATGCACTTCTTGGCACTTAAAAAAAATAATAATAACCCTTTGGGCCCTCAGACCACTAGGATGTGAGTCAAACGAAATTTCCAGTTAACATCCCCCTTCTTTCCCAGCTCAGGCTACAGCGTGTCCGGAAAGAAGCTGGCCCCAGACTCGTTTTCCGCCAGGCAGCTCGAAAGAAGGGAGGGTTCATAGGGAAATGTCACTTTGGTCAACAGCAATAGTCCAGCTCTGGGCCACCTTCGCCAACCATCAGGCCCGGGGAGGGGCTGTCTTTTCAAAGACGTTTAATCCCCAGATAAAAATCGTTCCTCAGCATCATGCCATTGAATTTGCAATGCTATTATGGTGCGAAATAATCGGAGGAAACGAGGAAAACTTGGGAATTTCCCGTGCTCCTGAAATATCTTCGAGCGGGTTCGCTAGGGAAAGACGCCTGAGGGCCACGAGGATTTAGGACTATCCCGGAACATGCCGCTGGCTGCTGGGTCGACTTTGAAAGCTAGGTCCAACACATTCGGGAGCTAGCAAAGCGATTAAGGGGGAGCTCCTTTTGGCTGTCTTGTTGCCCCGCCCCCCTCCACTTGTCCACGATTGTCCCCTCTTGCTAAATCATCCACCCGCCCAGAAACACCAACTAACAGCTTAGAACTTGATGAGTGGGGGAGGAGTTCTGCAGAGTTTCGGAACCCCTGGAGAGGTTCTTTAATGGAGAGGGGATTTACCGACTTCTACTACCAGAAAGTGAAACTCCGCAGAGAGAGGCTGTACTGGCCGCTGGGCCCATCTAAGTCGGGTGCAAAATAACTGGGTTTAGGGTCAGGTGGAGGAGCAGGGAACCCTCGGCGTCCTAAGTACCGGAAGAATAAGAGGGTGTACGGGACCCCCGCGCGCTACAAATGAACTGACACGCTCAGCGGCACTACGCCAGGGCCAGGAGCCCGCGAAAACGGACGAAGAGGTTTGCCGGCTCCAGGCCTCTAACTCTCTTCCTGGGTGAGAGTGGGAAGAGGCTCCAAGGGCCTCCTCCCCGCCAACGCAACCTCTGCACGGCCTCCAGGTACCCAGATGCAGGTACGCCGACGCCCGAGACAAGCCGGCGCCGGCGCGCGGCCTGGCGCCCTCGGGCCCCACACCCCCTCCTGGCCCCTTCGCTCTCCATCCTGGGCTGGCTACTTACTGGCTGGGGGCGGGGAGAAGCGGGGACTCTGCATCCACGGGGTCCGGTCTGGCTTCTCGGGGCTCTCGGCCTTCACCAGAGCATCTTCTGGCAGCTTGAGGAGTCCCCCGACTGAGAAATGGCCCAGAGGCCGCGGCGAGGAGGGCGCGTCCGGGGCGCCCAGCGACCCGGGCCGGGTGCCCAAGTGCTGCAACGAGCCACCCGCTGCCTGAGGCCCCTCGGAGGCCACCAGGACGCTCTCCTTGGCCCCGGGCTTCCTGTGATCAGCCATGAGGGCCTCCACGCTGAAGGGCAGGAGCGAAGCGGGCACTTTGGGCTTGGCCCCCTCCTCATCTGTGCCCATGGCGGTCGCCGTGGCCGCAGCAGCGCTGGGGGCTTGACCAGCGCCTCCCCCGGCAGGCTTGCCGAAGGCGGAGTCCTCCACTTTGACACCGAGCGGCAAAGAAGTCATTGCAGCAGCCGGGGCCATGCAGAGCCGGACCCCCACTCCAGCCGCAGCTCGGGCCAGCCCTGGAGCATGGGTTTTGGGCGGGCTGGGAGCGCGGCCGGATTCTGCGAGCTCCCGGGGCCCTGGCCCGGCCGGCCCTCCCGCGCGAGCCTCCTGCGGCTCCCCCAAAGGCCAGCTCCGGCGAGCTGGGCCTGGATCCCTACGCCGCGCAGGCCGAGTTCCCGGGCGCACTGGCCGGCTCCGGGTCCGCCGCCGCTCCCCTGAGAACTTGTTAATAAGGCAAGGCCAGCGCGGCAGCAACCAATCAGCGAGCGAGGGGGCGGGCCCGGAGAGAACCATTGGGCCGCGCTCCTGTCCCGAGGCGCGCCGGGCCTGGGGGCGCTCCGGGCAGGAGAGTACCGGGGGAGCCTATCCGCCCGACTTCGCCCGGTGGGCATCTGTCCGGCTGGGTCCCTTTAGAGGTGGATCCTACCGAGTTGCAGAGGGACTTTCCTTTATTAGCACTTCTCTTCTGCCCTAGTCGTCCCCCACCGTTCCTTACCCGTTTCTTCCTTTTCCCTCCTGTTTTCTTTCCTCTACCGTTTCTCTCACGGTCTGTTGCTATTTCTTTCTGCCCCCCTTCCCTCTGCATCTCCCTCTTTCTACCACGAAGATTTTACTCCAGTTCACTTACAAATTTTTTTCATATTTGTTTTGAGTGGTCATAGTTATTTGTAACAGTAGAAAGGGATCATATTGATTTATTTCTTTAAAAAAACCATCCTAAGTGTCCTGTGTATCTCAATCTTAAAAAGTTTACCTCGGGGTAAAAGTGAGCCTTTGTTTCTAAGGGCTGAACAAAGTTTGTCAAAGGAAGCCTGGGCCCTGTTGGTTCTGTGGGTGCAAGAGCATGTATCATGATCTGGGAAATGCATTTAGTTTTCATACAAACATGTACCCTCTCCCCTGACTTTTCTCCAGCAAGTTACACCTCTACCAGAGAACTGCTGGCCAAAGGAGCCCCTGGATCCCTTGGGTGGAGAATTGGAAACATCAACAACAACAACAAAACAAAACACCGATCTGGCCTCAACGTGACCTCAAGCAATGAGTCCTCAAAAATCTAACAGTTTGCTAACGCTGGGGCTATGTTGGAGGGTAGAGGCCCATTTGAAGAAGGGGCAGGAGAAAGAAAGCAGTTCCTGGCAGCGTAACTTTGGTACGAGGCTTAAATACTTTTGTTTGCCGAATTTCGAAGGAAACGTGGTTTTATTTTTGCTGATAAAAAAAAAAAGGAAGAAAGTTATTGGGGGGGGCGGCACAGAAGAGCTATGTAAATTGGGTTCGGAGGGGAGAGGGTTCTTTTATGGCCTCTTATCCCAGGGCCCAGGCCCGCGGCTCCGGGGGAGTTGGAGGAGGTGATTGGCGGCTCACCGGGACTGGGCATTGATGACTGCCGGGCTCTAATCTCCAGGAAACACAAGGGGCTGCCGTGGCCATTTAGGGGTAATTATCCGAGCACGGAGGGATAGCGAATTCCCTGGCCTTTTAACTGGGCGCAATAAAAAGCTGTAGATTAGGGGCGACCAGATTAAGGAAAATGAATTACTTTATTACCCAGACGGCGTCCGGGGTCTGGAGGGAGGGGTCGGGCTGCGGCGAGATCGGAGCCTCACATCTGCCCACGGGGCCTGGAGAAATAGGAAGGCCTCGGGGCGGGTTCGGGAATACTCGCTTCTGTGAAATCACCGGATTTCTTAGGCATCTGAGTCTGCTTGAGCAGGCGCAGCGCGGGGCTTGGGACTCAAGCTCACTTAGGCCCAGCTGGACGCCCGGTGTACTGGGTCCACTGAGGTTTGTTCCTTGTGCATGAGAAGCAGACCCCATGCCACCCTGTTTTAAAGCTTGGCAAACGAAAGCTAAGCAAGAGTGTAGGCCGAACCTCGAAGCCCAGAGGGGACGGCGAACATCTGTAGCTGACGAACTAACTAATTAAGCTGTTGCTAGATCAACTCGTTCAGCAGAGTTAGCCGATTTTCACTCGGCGCTCCTGTTAAAAACAGAAGCGGAAATAAATCCCCTAAGTGCTCCTTTTAGGCCAGCGTTTTTAATACAAGAAGTGTTCGTCAAAAGGTAGGGGTTTTTAGTTGCTCCACCGCGGTCCCCAACTTAAAACGATTCTCTCCCAGGAAGAGATCAGAGAATCAATCCAGTGTAGCTAAATCCTTTTCCCTGGAAAAATGCTCATCGACTAACACACCTTACACGCAGTTGTGTAGACACTATCAGGAACTCATAGATGGGCTCTGAGTCTGAAGTCCTGCTTTAGGGTCAAGGGGGTCTCGAACCCCAAGAGTGGGGCCCCAGGATATTCTGGGGACTCCAACAGAACTCTTGGCGTGCGCGGCAGTCGGAGCCAAGAGGCCTAGCCTCAGGCTGGGGCGGGGGGCGGCCTGAGAAGGGCTGCATCGCTAATTGCGGGGATAAACAATCTGTCACGATCCCTCAGCGCGCCTAATAGGCAGACGAGGATGTTGTTTTTAGGCGCCAGCGGCGGCCGGATCAAAGGCTGCAGCCGGCGCAGGGGCCCTTGAAGTCGCGCCCCTGCCTCCAGGGAGCAAACTGCCTGCGCCCGCAGCCCTGAGCCCTACATTCGGCCCCTGGGCTTTTAGAGTAGGTCTCAAACCCCACTATCTCATCTTTTTTTGGGTTCTGTATGCGTTCGGGTCTGCAGTGGTCCGGCACGCAAGGACTGGCGGGTTGCAAACATTGCAAGGTTAGAAGAGTGCTTCTGCAGAGCGTAGGGCACCGGACTCAACGTCTGGTTGAACTAGCGCAGAACCCCTGCTGGGCTGCGAAGCAAACGTGTACCCCGGAATCTGAGAGGGAGTAGGAGAAACAAAATAAAAAGCCTGTTCCCGAGAGTGTGACTTAGTCCCGAAGAAGGAAAGGCATGCGTTTGGGATCTCTGAGAGCCACAACCTCCGAGCTCATTTTTTGTCCGGCCTTTGAGGATTTCCCGGCCTGTGGGTTCGGGCGAGCAGACAATCCGGCCCGTGTCTGTTATCTCGCCACAGCGCTAACCAGGGGCGCTGCTGCCCAGGCGCGACCGTCGTAGGCAGCGGAGAAAACCGACCGTAATTCATGCCTGGCAAGGGCAGGGCTGGCCCGCGGCAGATAAAACTCTGAGACCGGCGCTCTGCTTGCAACCTCGCTGACTCTCGACTCTCCTCCCCTCCCCCTCGCTCGGCCTCCGCTCGTCTCCTGAACCCTAAAGCACTCATGCTTCCGAGAGAAAAAGAAAAATTGTCTTTGCGGGTTGAGAGAGATCCTAAAGACTAGTCCTGCGTTCAGTGTCTGTGCCGCTACAGTGATTGGTGGCGTTTACCCCGCAGCCCAAAATGCATGTTTTACTGGAGTGTAGGTCGGCTGAGGTATGGCTGCGATGTGGTTCCTAGATAGCTTCTTCCCGGTGGGCAGAAAATCAGCTTGTAGAGGGATTAAATTTTAAAGGCAGCTGTTACAACCTGAGTATCTTCCTCCAGCTAACCTAAGGGCTAGCCCTTCACTACTGCGTTCGTTGTCGTCTCAATCCCACCCCCCTTTCCAGTGCATTTTGTGGCCCCTGCCCAGGAACCCCGCATGCAGTTTTTAAAAATGTGCGGCTCAGTGGGATCCGCCAGCAATTAGGTAGCTCCAAACAGTCTTCTTTAATAGAATGGATGTGCTATGAAAACCGGTTACCCGGAACGCTTTATTTTTGTGGGGATTCGCCAATCACCAGGAGGGCAGCGAAGGCAGAGAGAAGAGGTATTTTGTCCCCGGGTGGGGGTGGGGTCTGATGGATGGACAGAAAGCCTCGTTCTGGGATCTGCTAACCTCCCGAGAGGCCCTCCCTTCCCTGCCATCGCCAAGCCTCTGTCTCCTTCCAGTGAGGGGCTAGGAGTCACGTTTGAGAAATTGCCTGGGAATCACTCGTTCAGGGAAGATTTCAAAGCTTTCCAAGGACAAGCCCCAGAGTTTAGAACTAGAAAAATCTTCAGCTCCAGAAGGTGCAGAGGTGACAGATGTAAAAATAAAAATGTTTCGGCTTTCCAAGGACCTTGGCTGAACTGATGCCGTCCTTAGCGCTCGAACTGGTGCTGCTTGAAGGAGCCCTTCCTGGAAGGTGGTTTTTTTGTTTTTTGTTTTTTGTTTTTTTTTTCCCTTTCTTGCGAACTCCTCAACTTCTTCGGAGGAAGGGCGCCTGTCCTGCGGATTCACCAGAGGAGCTGGCAGCTAGAGTCTGCGACTTCTTGCCCCTTCCCGCCCATCCCCCACTTGCTCTGGATCCCTTTCTCGGCCCCGCTTTCTTGTGTCTTTAAATTCGGGAGGGGTGAGGGGCCAGGATCCGCGGAAGAGGGAGCTCCCTCTTCAAATGGCGCAAATTAATGCGATCGGGACTTGAGGGCGCACTTGGGGAAGATGAAAGCGGAGGCCTGCCGGCTCCTACCAGGACTCTATAATTATAGATAATATATCTCATTTCAAAGCAATTAGACCAATCAGGCGTAACGAACCACTTTGCTGCCTACGAATAACAAAGGCGCACGGTTATTTAAGCCTAGAGATGTCAGGCAGACCCTGAGGCTCCAGGGGCCCGGACCAAGGTCCTCCACCCCAGCTCGGCCCACCGCGGTACGGGAAAGACTCCCCCGAATTCCCTTCTCTCTGCCCGTTGACTAAGCGCCTCTCTCGGCTCTTGCCCCTGGCCACGGGGGTACGGGTTGGAGCGGATGGGAGAAACCTGGTGTCAGACCTCTGGTCAGAAGTTTTGAAAACTTTAGCAGACTTAATCCCTTCTGCTCTGGGACATGGGAAACAGACGCTCCCTGGCCGGGGCTGAAAAGGGAGACCCAGAGAGGAAAAGCGTCTAGCTAAGGGTCACACAGCTAGCTAGCGGTAGGATTGCTGGTAGCTCCGAACCACTCAAATCCCCCGCCTTGCCTTTTTCATTACGAGGAACAGCCTCACTTGGGTCCCTCCAAAACTGCGTTGATGCACTCGGAGTACCACCGACCGCGGGTACTGGATGGATCCGCCCCGAGTCCCGCCCAGACAGGGAGGGAAGATCTTTCATCCTGCAATTACTAACCTCTCTGTCGATCTTCTTCGCGCTTCCCTCATAAGAAGTCCAGGAAGGACACTGTCGAAGTTCCTCAAGTATTTCTTCAATACCCATGTTCTTGGGTCTGTTTGAGAAGAAAACAGGCCTGGGTTACAGGTCTTATTTACTTATTTATTTTCTGAGATGTGGTTCATCAGCTTGAAAGTGGGCAGACAAGCGGGAAGAACAAGCAGGGAGCATCTCTTGTTCTTAGGAACCCCGACAAAAGACATCAATGAGGGGGCTGGAGAGATGGCTTAGCATTTAAGAGACCTGACCGACCTTGCAAAGGACCCAGGATTCGTTCCCAGCACCCGCAGGGCAGCTCACAACCCTCAGTAACTCCAGTTCCAGGGAAATCCAACGCATTCATCTGCCCTCCTCAGGCACCAGACACACACAGTACTGTCACACACATGCAAGTAAAACATTCACGTTAAAAATACCTAAAATGAACACATTAAAAATAAATAAGTCTTTTTTTTTTTTTTAATGCAGAGAGCACTGGGAGGTGCCGGGGGCCAGACTTGAGAGAATTGAGCTGAGTGAATTGGAAGGCAAGTGGAGCTGCTGAGGGTCTTAGAACTAGGCTAGAAGAGCCCTGGGAGGCTAGGACACCCAGGCATGGACCGTGGACCGCCACAGCAGGTGGGATACAAGCGATGGATCTCTTCCCACTCTCTGCCTGGTGGGCTCCGGGGCTTTGATAGTCCTTCCTGTCTCTGCCTGGCTCTGAGAATCTGTCTCCAGGCCTCTGGGGGTCTGGGAGCTGGTAGTATGACACACACACACACACACACACACACACACACACACCCCGTGGAGACCCAGGCTCCAAGTCTGGCTTCCTTTCTTATCTTCCTTGGCTGTTGGTTCCAACTTCTTTCTCTGTTGCTTTCTCTGAACCTCTTGCATTCTGTCCTCACCCAGTGA